TAGAGCTCATTTAAGATCGTTAAGTGAACAAAACAATGATCTGGGTGGTGACGAAGATGAGGTTTTAGGCCTAGGTTTGGAGTCTCTGAAGATTTTGTTGAAGTGGGGGGTCTTTCTGGGGTTGATGATTCGTGGTTTTTTTGGTTTTCTGGTGCAAGAGGGTTCTTGCGGTGGAGGAAGTGGTGAATGCAGGGTACGGTGTGATTGAGCAGTGGGCATTGTTGTTGAGGAATGCATGGCCTAAGGTTTCTATGGTTCTTAAGATTTTCAAAGACCAAGGTGTGATTCTGAGTGCACTTTAGGTCTATCTGCATTCTTCTCAATGGCAGAGACTTCTATAACTACACTGTGGCCATGGAAGGTTTGCTTTCTTGGTTTGATGAGTGATGGTTCTCCTAATTAGTGAATAGCAATTGAAATCTGAATTTTAGTATGGAAATATGGAAAATTTTGGAAAGATAAAATTTATGAAGTTGAAGGACATTCACATTTAATGATTTTTATCTTGCAAAGTTTGTGGTTGTTGTGTAATGGCATTTGCTGACTTAAATATTGGGTTAAGTTTAGCAAAGATTAATTTGATCTGCCTTGTCAAATCTTGACTGTGAAATTCATGCAGCATTATTATTGTTGTCTTGTTTGGTTGAGATGATTCTGGTTTCTACTATGTTTTTCTGGTTCATATTAACTTAGAGAAGAACAAAATTGTTTTTTTTTTTTTGAATGTCACCAAGCCATCGAGAAACTTTGATCTCATTGGTGATTTGATGCTAATTTGTGTTAGGTTTGTGAGCTGGCTGAAAAAGAGTCTGAAGATGGTTTATTGTGAATGCTTCACGGTGATGTAACCCAGTTGTTGACCACCATTGTTATTGGTACTACATACTAGTCTTTCATATCATCACTTAACTGATCCAGTTTTGTTTGTCTGTTCAATTTTGTTGTGTAATTTATTGAAGATTCTGTTTCTGTAACTAGGGTGGTCAATATTGGAGAAACTGTCAATATTGGAGAAACTGCTTTAGTTACAGATGCAGCAACAACAATATTTGCAAAGGCCGGTGTTAGTGCAGCAACTGGAGTAAGAACTGTATGCATATAAAAATTCTATCCCCTCTCTGTGGTCCATGGACCCAACCTCCTTGCCTGCCTCTGTGTGTGCTTGTGTGTAAAACATTATGAATTTGTAGTAAATTAGAGTAAAACACTTAAATCTGCTTTGGGATAAATCTCTTTAAGTTAGCAGTTTTTTTTTTTTTTGGATAAGCCTTTAAGTTAGCGCCTGACTTGTTCAGTTCAGTGTGACAAAGTTTTGTACATCCTTTGTAAACAATGAATGAAGAATGAATAAGAAATCATGATGGGCAACTCTGATAGACCACAGAATAATCAAAAGGTGGGTGGGCTGGTTGATGTCATGTTTTTTTCTCCACTGCCTGTATGATAATGTGAAGGTGGTAATGGTAAATGAGCTGAATCTTCTGAGAATATAGGGCCTTTGAGTCAGAGAATCTGTGTTTTATGTGGCTATAGAACTTTCTATGACATGGATACTTGCATTTCAACTCTTGGGCACTGGTCATTCCTTATTTTTCCTTTTTTGATATTGTGGGTATCCAAACCTTTGGGCACTATTCATTCTTGATATGGTATCATCTATATGTATCTGTGCAGACTGAAAGGCATAGCACCTTTGTTAAATAAAGAGGGAAAAAAAAAAAACTTGAGTCAGGAAAGATCTTGTCCGCACTTGCAACATTCAGGATTCTTCAAGAGCCAATCTACAATCTTCCGGACACAATTTCAATGATAGTTCAGACGAAGGTTTCTCTTGATAGAATTGCATCTTTCTTTTGCCTGGATGACTTGAAGCCTGATGTTATAGAGAGGCTACCAAGAGGTAGTTCTGATACAGCAATTGAGATCATTGATGGGAATTTCTCCTGGGATTTATCTACCCCAAGTGTAACTTTGAAAGATATAAATTTGAAAGTGCACCATGGTATGAGGGTTGCTGTTTGTGGTACTGTTGGCTCTGGCAAGTCAAGTTTACTTTCTTG